CTTCATCTAATCAAAGAACTGTCTCCTGATTAGGTATTAGCTTAGTGCTGTGTTGACCTTTGACAGACATGAATAAGCTAACTCTGAAGTCTTTGCTTCACACCATTTACAATTTAAAATGACCTAGAGCCTGTGGGCCATTGTAAAAGACTGAATTTTTCACTCTGAATGGGAGTCCTTGGAGGGTTTTGAGCACAGGAGAGACATTCAGGTAATCAGATCACTCTGCCAAGAGATCGTTCGGGTGGCACAAACCAGAGGGTTGGCAGTGGAGGTGAGACAAAGAGTCAAACCGGATATACTTTATTTGGAAGCTGGGTCAGTAGGATTTCCTGGTGGACTGATGTGGGTTATGTGAGAGGAAATGAGGGTGACAACTGGAAGTTCCTGGAAGGGTGGATTATAAGTTAGACAGGAAACCCTATACAGATGCAGCTTTGGGAGGATGATGTTTGGGTCGGCTGGGTGTCATGCAGACAAGCGGAGTGTCAGGTCTAGAGAGAGAGGACTGGCTAGGGACTTAGATGAACAACTCTCAGCATGTAGATGCCACATAAAGCTGTGAGGTGACCAGGGAGTGAGTGCAGAGTGAGTGGGAGGAGCAGGACTGGCTTGGGTGAGAGGGAGTGACTGCAGTGGTGAGGCTTGAGCAGTGCCCAGGAGGGAGAAGCAGTGTCAGCATGCAGGCACAGAAGAGGCCAGCTGTACACTGAGGTGACACATTGTTCAGATCCCACTGCCATGGTAACTGTGGTCAAGGCAGAGTTGGCCACTGGAGGAGGGGCGTGGAGGCCTTCAGGAATCTTGGCAAGCATCACTTTTCATGGATGTGGGAGAATGGAGCAGAGGAACTAGAGGCTGTGACTGCAGAAAACTTTTGTAGGGTTTTGCTGCGGAGAGAAGCAGAGAAATGGAGTAGTTGTTGGTGGAAGAAGTAGAATCAAAAGGCTTTGTGAAAAGAGAAATAACAGAGAAGTGCCATTGTAATAAAGTCCAGGAAGAGTGGATGGTGACTAGTGAGCAAATGATGTGTGGCCCTGAGTGGAGGCATGGACAGATCATCTGTGCCTGAGCTGCCTGTAGAACTCTCTGTTATCATGGAGATGCACATCTCTGCTTCCCAATATTGTAACCCTAGCCACAGGTTGATAAGGACCACTTCCAGTGTGACTAGTGTGACTGAGGAACTGCATTTTAAATATTATGTAATTGTAATTAATTTTAATTTAAATAGCCACACATAGCTCTCCTATGGGCCAGCTCGGAGCTCTGGTAAGGCTGGATACAGGAGGAAACTCTGGTAGAGGGTAGACTGTGGAGGTTCTTTTGGGTTTGGATGAATCAGCAAACAGCCGTCAGCTGAGTGAAGGGGAGGGAGGAGTTGGGTGTTTGAAGACAGGAGAAAAGTGTGAAAGAATCGCTTGTAGAGAGGGAAAAAAGTTATGGACTGGGGATGTTTCCATTGTTTGGGCACACAGGGCTCCACAGAGTTGTCTGCATTTGTTGTCCCTTGGAGCAGCAGGGAAGAAAACAGTTGACACAGTCTGAGCAGACTGTAGAGGTAAAATGTGTAGAAGTTGTTTGTTTGTTTTTTAGATGGACTCTTGCTTTGTTGCCCAGGCTGGGGTGCAATGGCATGATCTTAGCTCACTGCAACTTCTGTCTCCTGGGTTCAAGCGATTCTCTCACCTCTGCCTCCTAAGTAGCTGGGAATACAGGCACATACAACCACGCCCTGCTAATTTTTGTATTTTTAGTAGAGATAGGGTTTCACTTTGTTAGCCAGTCTGGTCTCAAACTCCTGACCTCAAGTGATCCACTCACCTCTGCCTCCCAAAGTGCTGAGATTATAGGCGTCAGCCACTGCCCAGCCAAATGTTTAGTATTTTTAATAGGTTAAAGCCTACATAATTCTGTCCACAGTTCTTTACTTAGAAGTTGCGAATCTGTTCATGTTAATCTTATGTTTATTACAGATAATGGCATATGGGTTTTCTTTTTTCCTGTCATGTATAGCTGAACCGTGCAGAATTTGAGGATCAAGATGATGAAGCCCGAGTTCAGTATGAGGGTTTTCGACCTGGGATGTACATCCGCGTTGAGATTGAAAATGTTCCCTGCGAATTTGTGCAGAACTTTGACCCCCATTACCCCATTATCCTGGGTGGCTTGGGCAACAGTGAGGGTAATGTTGGATGCGTGCAGGTGGGTCCCTTTGCTGCATATTTGGTGCCTGAGGCTCTGTGGATTTCCGTTCCATCAGTCATCTTACCCTTTCATCCCCTCAGATGCGTCTGAAGAAACATCGCTGGTATAAGAAAATCCTCAAGTCCCGAGATCCAATCATATTTTCTGTAGGGTGGAGGAGGTTTCAGACCATCCCACTCTATTATATTGAAGACCACAATGGAAGACAAAGGCTTCTAAAGTACACGCCACAGCACATGCATTGCGGAGCAACCTTTTGGGGTAAAATATGGTTACAATAAGTTGCTTGTTGCCGAGATTAAACCTTACAGTCTGCATCATTA